CAATTGCCTACATTTTTATTTTCTTATCTGTAAACCAATAAAAAAGTATAGGAATCATGATTATTATTTATTGTGCAACGTTCCCTACGAAGTCACTATCAGGATAAAAACTTAAGTTTGAATAAGGACACGCTAAATATTTAACAAAACAGATTAAAGCAAAAAATATCACTTATACAACGATTTCTAAAAAGTCCCTAACAAAGTGAAAACATAAATCTAAATAAACACTAAATATTTAACAAAAAGGGCTAAAAAATAAAATAATTATCACTTATTATACAGCAACCTTTACAAGATAAAAACGTAAGTTTAAATGAAAACACATTGAATATTAAACAAAACGGACTAAAAAATTAAATAATCATTATTTATTGTACAGCGACCCCGTAGGGGTCGCCTACAGGATAAAATTGTATATCTGATTATAAAATATAGTAAATATTTAATAAAACAATATAAAAAATAATATAAAACTTAATTACATATTTTGCAGCGACTCCTATGAGGTTGGTACTTGTAAAGTAATACGTTTACCGTCGATGGCTGGCTCCTATGCAATGTGGAAAATTCCAACGCTCACGAAAGCCTTTCTCAATTCTAATCCATTCGCTTTGTGTCGATGGTGTGGCTAAATTTACAATACTTAATTTGTTCCATATAGCCTGACAAGTCTCATGAATTATTTGATGTACACTTGTTAAGCCTACATTAAAGTTCCAAGGAAGAGCTTGCATGAAAGATATCTATAAAATTAACAAAACATTAAATATTATACATAAAAAGAAAATGTTTATATTATTACTGAAGTGTTATCACTAATCTTTCCTCTGCTGAAATACCATCAGATCTTCTTTGCTTTTTAATTAGCGGACTGATTTATTTTATTAATTTCTCAAACAATGACACATGCGAGTGTACTTAAAAAATTATTGAGAGTCCCAAATCTTTATCAATTTATAATATTGAAAATTTTCTAATGATTTTCTTTTTCGGTTTATGGGATGTATTTTAAAACGCCGTATACGTCTTTGCTTAACTTTACGTAAAGCAAGCGAACACAAAAGTATTCCAAGAATACTTTTCATTTCACTCAGTCTAGGTGAACGTCAGATCTTCTTTTTTTTTTCTTGCTCTGATTTATTTCGATTAGATTATCTACCCAGCACACAACGGCGCTGAACGTCGGCTTATAAAATATGAAAATCAATGGCGACTGCAACGTCAAACAGAAACTAGATAAAAACAATACACAAAGCTGATGATACCAGTTTCCTACCTGAGGTACGGGCGAAGCAGCGGACTTCGTAGAGATTTTATGATAGACAGTTCAGATTGTTACTTTAGTCGGTTGTCGTTGGGAACTGACGATTCCCCGCTCTGTATGCCTCATTTATAAGTCGCCAAAAAAAAAATAAGATCGAACAAAGTTTACACTTATTTTTCTTTTCAACCTACCTAGTAAATACGAATTTAAAATAATTTTACAACATGTAAAATTCTTCATGCATCTTCGGTTCTTTCTTTTTCTTCGGGCTTGCTTTCTGTCGGTCATTACTTTTGGTTACATTGTATTCCGATGCTACGGCGTCGCGGACATAGGTCAGCTTGCACTCTAACTAACCTGGAGCGCAATGTAAAATTATTGCTTGTAGCGGATATACTTGGTGGTGTCGGCAACTGAGAACAATCTTTGGACATTGTACCTACTAGACCTCAACGTGAGCACAATAAAGCCGCTCCAGCCAGACTTAGGACTTCGAATAACAGGTCGGAGTCCATGACACTAAAAGACAACAAAAAAACGTCGGAAAAACATTAAACCCTACTTATTCAGTCGGTCTTCTGATGGGTCCCAATAGGTGTCAAAAAAAAAACTTAGGTCATAATGAACTAAAACAGGACATTCTATCAATAAAGAACCAAAAGGAGAAAAAGAAAACAGAATAACAAATATATATTCTTAACGGAACCATTGGGGAGTAACTAGCAAGGACAATTCCTTGACATTGCGCCTATTCGACCACAACGGGAGCAAAAATATATTGGTGTTTGTGCAACGATTTCTTTTTGGAGATAGACGGTTTATACTAATTTACCACTTTGGTGTGGGTTATTGCTGGTGATGCATTTTCATGTATTTGAGCCTTATTTTCTAATTCCATTGGCAAATACCCAGTTTTGAAATATGTGCTCATTAAAGGGCAAAATCCCGGTTGTTCGGAACCCACTTACCGCAATATTTACAGACGATGCTTTGCTGAACGCTTCTGAATCAGCCCCTGTGATTTGATATATTTCGAATGTACGACCGCAATGATTTTTTAGCCACCTCGTAAGGTACAAATCGTAATAATTCATAAATGACTTAAAATTTGGCTGCATTTTATGCATACAATGTGGCGGTAGACTTAATAAAATGACATTATCCTCGCAACAAATGTTTGACGTTCAACATTTTTGTATGCAAACAGTGGCTGTCCAAAATAATAAAAATTGGACGCTCCTTCGACGGTTTGGTTTGTTCAACAAAATATTTTATGAACCGCATCATTATCTAAAAGCCGGACTACCGTTAGGTGCATTATCTATCAGCTCTGGTCTTATTCGCTTTCTGGGAAATATAAAAGCAAGTCTAAGAAAATGGCAACTTGCAATAATAGAAGTAACTACAGTCGCATTACCTCATCTTTCGGCACTCGTCAATTCTCCCAATTGCTTTTTGCTCAGCATTCCATATTCTGTCTGAGGTGAATTGATGTTTTTCATAAATACTTTCAAGATTAGTAAAAAAACTGGAATGAATTCTGGTTTAATCCCGTAGCTATAGCGTAAGAAGTTGCTTCTGATTTTCTAAGAGAAATATTCCTATGTCGACATAAATCCCCGTAAATCCATTTCTTGGAGGCCATTTGAGAATCTTTATTAAAACTGTAAGAAATATTATTGGGAAGGGCAAAACCAAATACCAAGTGACAAAGCTCATTCTGGGTAATACCAAAAAATTGCTTCTCCATTTTAAGAACGCATTCTATAATTTCATTTTCTTATTCAACTAAGAATATCTGCCTAAACCGCGCAAGATATTTTACATTTTTAGTCACATATCGTCGGCTTAATATGCAAATCACATAAGTCCCATAAACCTAATTTTACAGGAGAGAGAAAAAACTGTAAACCTATGGAATCGTGTAAGGTAAATTTTTTATTTTTTAGGTAATGTTTAATTAATTTTGTTTGTGTATTTATAGGTAAAATAAACTGACAAAATTTTATTTTATATTATTTTACCGGAGTTAGTTATGTGATTTTCGAGTTATTTTGATTTTTTTTTGAGTTATGGGATTTTCGGTATATAAATTAAAATATTAGGAAATAAGTTTATTAAGTATAAGAAAACTAGAAATAAGGTAATTGTTCATAAAAAGCATAATAATCTTGTGTTATGCTTGTCTTTAAACTCATTAGATGATCATGCCTTGTTTTTTTTAATTGGAAGTCGATCTAAATATAGCGGTAGTAGATCTTCAATTTTCTTTGGGTTGTTGACATTTTTTTTACGTCGAACTGGGAGACATGACCATTCGTCAATGTGTCTCGGCTTGTATCGAATTGTGCCATCTGATCATATCTGAGTTGTCTTGTACAATTTACTGTGGCAGATGTTCCAGGTCTAATAGAAGGGTAATATTGGAGAGAACTAAGGTCTTTGAAAAACTGGTGGTTTAAATACTCAACTTCATAGGGAAAAGGATTTTTGCGATCAGCTCTGCATATCGTAATATAGTCTGCAGGAACGTTTATTATTGCATTTTTGATCTGCCTTTCAATAGTGGAGTGCATTGAATCGCACTCCATCTGGGTATACCCACGCTCTAAATATTTTTGGAAAATGGTAAAATTTTTTAAAAGTGCTAAATTTAATAAAGCATTGGATAATGTCACGTTTCGGTTTTGACTTGCACATCCATCACTGTAGAGGTTATAATACGGCACTTGATGCTTGTCAATTTCTCTAGCAAGGAAATTTACTATAATTGGCTGTTAATCCTCCTTCTGATTCGTTCTATATAAAACAAGCTCCGTCTTTAGTTTTCAGATCGTAAAAAGTAAAATTGTGGACAGCTAATTTAGTTTTATAATAAAGTGCTGACACATTGGATTTCGGTGCTAGGAAAACAGCTTGCATGTCCATAGTGTACACTTTATATTCATCAGTGGAATTATTCTTATCTTCATCCTTCTCTGTTCTTGCTTCTTGCTTTTTCTCCTAATGCAATGCATAAACCTCTTCCGGAACATTATTTGTTCTATAGGAAACGCATAAGTCGTACTCGTCTTTTTTGGCATAAAAAGGCTTAAATTCAAGTCTGAAAACATGTGATGAAATGTGGCTATAGATAATGATCGTTCATTATCATGGTTTGTGGAACAAAAAGTTTTGTAAAGATCGTATAACTGACTTTTGGATTTCCAGTCAGGCTCCAAATATTGTTTCTTGGTAGAACTTCGACAATAGTGGCTCTCCATTTTTGGCAATAGATCAAAAAATTCTTTTAAATGATTTCTTCTTAGTTCCCTGCTTTTTTCATTAATTTCCATTTGGTTATTTTCAATGTCAGTTTGATCTTCTTTTTTCTTTTTTTTTTTGCTGGGTTATGTTGAGATTTTACTTCAACCAGTTATTAATGGTCCACTGTTTAATAGCTAATGTTCGCGAATAAAGTTTTGCATATTCTTATTTTGGTCCCATCTACTTTCTTCAGAGAGAAAATGTAGGTGCACGTTCTTCTGCTGGTTTCCTCCTTTCTTCTGTTTCTGCTTCTTTATGTGTGTTTACTTTCAACTTGCGTTGTTATGAACACCTGCTTTTCACTCCAAGACATTTTCGGTCATCTTCAGTAAACTGAGAGCATCTCAGTTTTGATTTTTTATTAGTTACGCACTTACATCTATCTTGTATTGCTTTCTGTGGTTTTTCAATATTGTACATCCAATCATCACCATTTTTTCTTTTTTCCTAAATATTTTAGACCAGTCTCTCTTTTCTTTTTTTCCTGCTTCCAGTTCTTAGTATCAACATGTCTTCTTTTGCGTCGCTGCCTATTTTTATTCACTGGTTTATTTTCCAATTCTATTTCAGTTGCATTGTCTTGTTGCTCGAGATTATTATTTTCTTCCAATAGTTCTTCGTCAGATGAACTAGAAGCGGTTTCCCAGTCTGGATCGTCCTGTCTTTTTGGTTTTTCTGCGCATTGGTTCTCTTCAATGATTTGGTCATCTAGGTTACGTTCTTTGGAGCTGGGCTATAAATTTTCAAAATCGTTGGGACACTGAATCTTATTTGAAGTTAATAATATGTCACTAAAAAAAACTCCGTCTTCAAGTCCATTTTCAGAACCAAATCCATCATTTTTCTCAATGTTGCTGTAATCAGCGCTAATTTCAGGGATATCTATAAAATCAAAGTCCACATTGGGCACAGCATAGAGTATCTCATCGTTTATAACAAGCGGTTGGGTAGTTTTGCAAATTTCTTCATGATTGACTTCTATTATCACGTCACGGTCCGTAATATCGTTTATAAAATTGCCACTCTCAGGAATACTGCATTTATTTGTTTTAATTGATTTACTACTACAAGCCATCTCAAGCAATTTTAGAGTTCTTGCGGACATATTGGCGTGATTCTGAAAAACAAATACTTAATTTGTATACAAATTGCTGGTAGTTTTAAGATGTTCGGCGCGTTTTTTTTTTATGAACACATCTCCACCAGATGCCATTTGACAATAGGTGATATCGTACTGAAATTAAACAGAATATTATCAGATAATTCTTGCTTTAAAAAAGAATGCGCCTATTGTGATAAATATCCTATCTTTTTTTTGTGTAATCTCCTAAATCACGATTTTTGTGATGCATTCTAAAATACATTTTTTTAGGTTCGTAGCTTAACAGCTAAGAAAGCCCTTAGATCATAGGTTTTGATTATTTATTCAAAAATGTGTATCATAACCAGTATTTAACAAAAACTGTATTAGCAAGTCTAAAAAGGATGTTAATAAAAATAAACTGTAACTAGATTAGTTTGCTGCTAACATTTTTCTTCAATAACTATAAGTAGAGAGTATCCTGAAAGAGCTTGTGTGGGGGAAAATAATACAATTGTATAAATTAATACATTTATTGAAGAATATGAATGCTAACCATATAACAGTAACAAAAATGGTAACGTTTATTGGCTGGGTCAATATGGAAACGTTTCAACACTGCCAAGAAGTTTAGGTCTAAATTATAATGTGCATATTAATTAATAATATCGTAAATGATGATTGTATAATCAACTGGGAAGACAAGAGGAAAAAACTACTTATTACAGCACAACTGTGCGCGATAGGGAGAGAACTCACCACTGAAATAGAGAATTCACGAAATTTGTTGTTTTTTGACATAATGTGTCAAATCCAGATTTAAAAATATTCGCGGCGGGAAATTTCAACTTTTCTGAGATTTTACACAGTGTTATCTGTTGTAAGTTATAAGATAATCTATCAAGGGAAATATCCTAGAATTTTGAATTTTTATTTGTTTTCTATTTTTGCAATTTTTATAAGAAGAAAATAAACGTCATGGATGCTCGTTATTACAATTATTTATGAAAATATAATTTAATGATTTTTATTCAAGAGGCGACTTAGAAAAAAGGGAGTAAATAATTGTATTACCTGAGAATGACTCCAACTCATTTTGAATTGCTTTTGCACAAAATAGGCCCCTCAATATCTAAAAATGATTGTCGTAGAGAAACTCTCCCTTGCTTAAAGACTATTGTTAACATTGAGATATTTAACGTCAGGTGACAGCATGGTACCTGTATCCTATGCGTTTCGAGTTGGAAACTCAAAATTTAGATTAAAAAACTTATGTATTTGCGATTCCTGATGTGTCTCCATCAACAGCAGTGCAACTCTGTGTCATGTTGCTTGCGACATGTAGCTTCGTAGATTTCATTGTGACTTTCACTACCACACGTCGTTATTTTGGTACTCTGTGTCACCGTCGCAGTTACTTCGGCTTTTTTCAAGAATATATTATCCAATCCAACATTTTTTTTAGTATTGGTAACAATTTAGGTAAGTTCGCATGTCATAATATTCTGCCTGATAGGTGAATTGTGATTGATTATTCGTTTTCTTAAATTACTTAATTACAACACAAACATCGCAGAATTGCATCATATTGAAATAACGCTTTAAGCTGTTATAAATATTATGTTGTGATCATAAGTTTAGGATTTATTTTGTTAACGTTATTTGCGAATTGATACTTGTTTTAGGATTATTATTAGCATTTTAACATTTAATGGTGATGTTGTCAATAAATAATTTCCTAATTAAAATTTCTTAAATAAAATATACATTAGATAACTAAAAAGAAAATTGATAATTTCTTAAATAAAAATATATATTAGATAACTAAAAATATACAAATTATGAAAATATAAAATTAAAAAAAAAATCTTGAATAAAAATATACATTATATAACTAAAAATATTAAAATTTACAAATACAAACACTTATGATAATAAACTTAAAAATTATTTGTTCATATTTGCGGCTATTGTTTTTAATGAATTTGCTATGCTCTCAATATTTGAGTTAATATTAGATAGCACGTTTAAAGTTTCTTTGTACATTTCAAGGAGTTCATGCGAAATGTGAAAATTTGAATTGCCTCTAACCTGTTTCCTTTTCAATGGATTTGGAGAATCTACCAACCTACTCTTATAAGCATGATCCTCTGATATCATGTGTTTTTCTTGGGCATCTTCCTCACCTATCTCGCAGCCAAATTCAATAACTCCCCTATCACCTTCTACAGCAATATTACCCATTAAACTAAGAAGTCTCTTCTTATATTCTGTGAGGGGTAATGCCGTAGAAAGTCAACCTCAAGTTCCTTCTTGCGCCCATCTTAGTTTTGCGGCTTTAGCTTTTGTTTTTGACTTCTAAAGAAAAGATCATACTAAAAACTTACCCTACTCCATTCTGCTGTTTTTTTTTCGCCAAAGCCCAAACCATTTAATCTGTTTGCTAAGGTTTGCCACATGGCGTGGCCTTTAACTTTGCCAGCAATTCCATTAAATTTATTTGTTATTAACTCTGGAGTATTTTCGGCCATCGTTAATAACAAATCCCAATGGTCTGTTCTTACTTTCATATTAATATAAATTCTAATAATTTTATCAAATATCAACCAAACATATAAAATATGAGTTAAGTCATGAAACTTGATTATAAAATATAACCTCAATTCCCTTTCCTTTGATAATATATGGATCTTTCTACCCCAAGACTCAAATTGCAGAGCGACATATATATTTCTCTAATACGACACGTCTAAGGGTGTTTAATAGAAGCGACGCACAGAGGAGTATTTAAACCAGAAACCTGGCCAAAATTATTTAATGTAATTTATCATGTGGAGATGAATAAATAAACACTTTTAGGTATTATTCAAATGTGTATTTTAATAAAATAAGTAAAACAAGATTATTATAATAAAATTTTTTTAATCAAAATCTGATTCGTCATTTTCATCTCTCTGTTCTTCATTCCTGCTTTTGGTTCCGACACATTGAGTTTCAGGGAGCAGAAGACTTATTGTTTCAGAAGAAAATGGCTTGCTCTTCTTACGTGGCTGTGGTCTACTGCTGCTTAATAATGGGTCAGAAGTTAATAAAAGCCTGTTTAATGTCCCCATTGCACATTACTCGTGAAAATTTACGTGAGAAGTTTTGTCTATAAAGTCTAAAGTGCTTATTTCTGGCTTCGGCAGCTTCTTCTGATAGCTGCCCAATTGGTAATATAAAATGAGAAATGACAACCGCACCATGTATTAATATTTTATGTAGAGTCGGTGCCATTGGATACCACCCATATAGCTGTACATACAGTTTAGCAGTTTCGAATGTATAGCCTGCAAACTTTTCCACGTCAATCATATCCACTTGAAATCGTTTCCAAAATCACTTTGAACCAGTATTTCTGTTTTTGGTAATTTATTCAATTTCATTGTTTGTTCCATCTTTAGTTTCGTGAATAAAACGTATCCTTATGGGTCTGCAGTATCTTGGAGATGATGGCACTGGATTCTGCCATATAGTCTTTTTCTCTCCATTATTGTTTATTTGCAGTCGTAACGGAACTTTGGAAAATATTTGAGTCACTATCTGTATTATTTTCAAAGTTTTGCTTGAATTGGGATTGCTGGGACCCGTCACAGCCCCATTTTGTAAGAAGTTCCGTCTTCTTTTTTTCTTCTGTGCAGGTTTATATAACTTCTAAATATTTACACAATCTTAAAGAAGTATGGTCGAGTAAATCTTGCAACATAATTTCAGAACATGTTTCAGTGACTGTTATTGATTGCTCCTTCGGACAACATTCTTTTTTTGCGTTCTTTATTAGTGAATACTTTTATTTGCGTTGTGTAGTATTTCCCATTGCCTCCGAGTAAAATCTCCCTCCACAAAAATAGCCAAGGCCTCAGATGGTGTGTGCTTTTTAATTTTATTTTTATTAACCGACGAGATCGCTTTTCGGACTTTTGTAGCTCTTGTCGGTGTTAAAGTTATTTCTTTTATAATTTTTGACGTCTTTATTTCCTTCAGCACGTTGGCACATTTGTGCGGCATATGTTAACTGTTCCGAAGATACACGTTTTCTAAATCATTTGTTTTTCTTCGCTTACTTCTGTCACTTGATTCTCCGATTTCTTTTGTTGGTCAACCAGATTTTTCTGTAGTCCAAATGACAAATTTAATTGAATTGTTAAGCCATTGTTCGTTTTTCTGCTGATAAATACTAGGTCCATTTTTTTAGACTTCTTTCAACTCCAAACCTAAGATACTTTCTTCACCACGAAAATTAATGGGTCGAAAATTTTGGTCAAGTGCATGCACAGTAATATTGGTGATTTCACGTTGTGAAATAATTGGTAAATAAATTATATTTTTTGGTGTTTCGTCGATTGCAAATCCTGGACCAACGTTGATAGAAAATTCGTATATCGTGTGAGCAGATCTATCTCTGTAGAATGATTCTGTTGTAATGTTACAATCAAAGTGTATCGTACGAACTTTTATAATGTTGACAGGAAGATCTGAACAATGTAGTATGTTTGGTTCCAGTACTCTATTTGAAAATCCTAATACTTCACCTAGGTTATTATTTAACTGGAAATCAATTGCGTGTTCTTTGCTAAATATTTCACACTTTAGAGTATTATTGTTAGGTCTCAAATAAAACGAATTGGGATTCGAAATATGTCTCTTAATAAAACGTTCAATATCACTTATTTCGTAGCAACCTGCAGGAAATTCGATTTCTTTTAGTTGAGAACGATTATTATTTTCGTAGTAGAAAAACTTTTGACCAGTTTCAATGTTTGGTATGGTGTTATATGAATAGAAATACAAAAATGCAAGTTGATAGTTTTTTTGAGGATTTAGCGTAAGAGGTGTTGGAGGTTCGTAAGAAAATATATTGGTGCGACTTGTTAGAGTCAGTAGACAAGACATGACTGATGCATTTTCCGCTATGTAAAACCTTAAATAATACATCGTTCATGAAACAATTTATTTATATTTATTTATACACAAAAAACAAGTAGATTTTGGTTACGGTGGTCCATCCCATTGATCTTCAGAAATATTATAATGCTCTGTACAAGGTAGGTGTTGTGTAAGTTGAAAATTTTCTTGATATTCTTGAGGACGAAGATGCCAAATATCACTTAATTCTGCTGGTGTAATATTCTGTAATAACATCCTTAATGGAATTCGTGTTAGAATTTTGATAAGAACGTTAGACTTTTTAACATCAATAAGATCCATTACACAAAAACTTTAAACAAAGGTGTCCACAATTTATTTGATTGTATGTTTGGTATTGATTATTATTGTAAAAAATTTTAACTTTACCCAAATATTTAACAAGTTCTTTCATCGGCTTCAAATTACCGAATGAATCAAAGTATTCTACATTATTATTTATCTTTCTATACGCTACCCAATGAGTGCCATTGTTTTTTGATACATCCAAATTTACGATGGCACTTTCTCGCTGTAAAGGACCTGACTTAGGTAATGTATCACGCATGAAAACTCCTCGAAAATTTGGAATTTTTAATTGTGTACTATAATAAATCAAGTCTGAATCGTATAACGGTCTATTGAGTAGCTTCACTGTAAGTTTTTTTGTTTTTTTAAATACAATCCTAGACCTCCTTTTGCGCTTTTTCTTAAGTAAAATCCTGATCCTTTAGCACCAATGGATTCCATAGCTGTATTATGGCGACGATCTTCTTCAAGTTTTTTCTTAGCGTTCTTTGCATCAATAACTGTTTTCGCTATAGCGCTAGCACCTCCGGTTAGTGCCCCTAAAGCGCTGAGACCGGCAAACAACGGAATTAGCGGTAAAAAACCTCCGGATTTTAATGGTATTACCCTAGGTATTTTAACTCGCTGTTTACCTGTCTTTTTAACGACGGCTCGTGCTGCTTTCATAGCGATCATAGCAGATTTTTTTAACGTTGATGCTGGAGGAGACTTCTTCATCGATTTTCGTATTTTTCCGACAATATCTCGATGAAAAGATGGATTTTTTTTACCCATACCTAATTTCCGTTTGGTTTTCATTTCTGCAGTTACAGTTAAAGCTGCTGCTCTCTCACCTAATGAAGCTTCCCTAGATTTAACTCTTTCCCAAGCTTTATTTTCTAATATTTGGTCAGCTTTGTGTCTGTCTTCTAAAGATTTGAATTGTGAGTACGCTATATCGTGTTGTTTACATGCAGCATCTAGAGGATTAATGCCTGCATCTCCACGTGCAAGACGTTTTTGAAGTTTTGTACCAGGTCCACAATATTGATACCCAGGGAGATGTAGCTCAAAAGGTAATTTATTAATGAGACTATTTACTAGACCTTCACCTTGATACAACAACATTAAGAATAAGAATGATAAGTTTACATAACAACATCTCCATTTAAACATATTTTACAATTAACTATCACAAGATGAAGGTTGTTCAGCAAGAGCAGACGCTACCAATAGAAAACCTAGATTTTCAAACGCGACAGGTTTTGAGTAAACATGGTAAATTATTACCAAACTCGTTTCGCGCTATCATATGTGGACCAAGTGGATGTGGAAAAACAAACGTGATGCTTTCACTTCTTTTCAATCCGAATGGAGCGAAATTTAAAAATGTCTATGTTTATTCGAAATCGCTATATCAACCGAAATATCAGTTGCTTCAAAACGTCTTAGAACAAGTCAGAGGTGTAGGGTATTTTCCATTTAAAGATAATGAAGAAATCATCAGTCCCAATGATGCTAAACAAAATTCAATTTTTATATTCGATGATGTTGCTTGTGATGGTCAACAGAAAATTCGAGAATATTATGCTATGTGTAGGCATAAGGATATTGACGCATCATATCTTTGTCAGACATATTCAAAAATCCCAAAACAACTGATAAGAGATAATTGTAATGTAATTGTATTATTTAAACAAGATGAAATTAATCTAAAGCACGTATTCGATGAACATGTCTCACCTGATATGATATTTGATGAGTTTAAACATATATGTTCCCAATGTTGGTCAGAAAATTATGGAACTCTAGTAATTGTTAAAGATTTTCCGCTTAACAATGGTAGGTATCGTATGGGTTTTGATAAGTATATAATGATGTAATCTCAAACATCATCATTATTTATCATCAATATGTCCGATGATCGAGTTGCAAATGCTCTGCGTAAGAAAAAAGTGCAAGAGCTATTCGACAAAAATATTTAGCATTAAAGCTAGGTAGATCGGAACAAGATGAAACAGTACGTAAACTATTTAAACCAATTTCATCACCACTTATAGAGATTGTAAAATATTCAAAATCTTTAAATCAGTCCTTAACAAATTCAAAAGTTAAAAAAGAAGAGAAACCTGAGATTAAGGAACTTTTTCAAACAGGTGTTGAAGATGTACCTGAAACTAATGATGATGTTTTTCATGAAAGTGAACAAGGAACACAACAACAACAACAACAACAAGAACAACACTTAGGGAGTACGAGTGAAAGTGAAGAAGCGATTAGAGAATATATAGCCCAATAT